CTGTTGTTGTTTTGAGTCCCTTTGGTAGATCAGGGGTATCCATGCCCCATGTCAGGTTTGCCATTCGCGTGCAAACCGGGGAGGGTCTTCGTGTATTTGGATACGGACTGGTTAGATCTACCGGCAACAACAGAAGGCACGCAGATGGGGCATATGTACACCTTGAAATGGTTGCATGTGCGGGGACCCCTCGACCTCCCAAGAGGGCTACACTTCTCCCTACTCCCCTTGCGTGTCTAATACAAGAGATAAAACGTCTTCCCCTTCCAAGTAAAGGACATATCCGAACAACCTATGCGGATCGCGTGCGCGCCCGGGAGGAGGAGCAGACGAGTGGCGTGGGGCACGCTTTCGTCGCTTCCGTTGCACCCGGGGCGACGCAGGTGTCCAAAAAGGGTCGAGTGGGAACGGCGGCGGACAGGACGGCAAAGGTGGCGGTCGGAGTAGGAACACCGAAGCTAGAGGAGACAAGCGCTTCGAGGTTCACCCGTGGACGTTTCACACCAACGCAGAGTGCGATGCTCAGAGGAAACAGCGGGCTCAGCAGCAACAGCAGCCCCAGCAGCAGCCGCAACAGCCCCAGCATCAACAGCAGCCGCAGCAGTACCAGCAGCCTCACCACAAGCAACAGCAGCCCCAGCAGCAGCAAGGCGGCTATTGTGGGGGGGCTGGGGTGGTGGACCTCAGCACGGACCCCACGGCGGCCACGGGGCGCAGCAGCGGTATGGATACCCGGCTCCCCCTCGCCCGCAGCAGCAGCATTGGCGACCCCCGCACGGGCATGCAAACATGATGCACCAGCAGTATAATGCCACGCCCTACGGGGGGCCCGCGAATGGTAGCGAGTATGGGAGTTGGGAGCAGCAGCAGCCACCGTACCAGCAGCCTCCGCCGGACGACACCCAGCAGCAGCAGCCGTACTACCCGCCTCCGACACCGTACTATCAGCAGCAGCCACCGCCACAGCCTCCGCCTCCGCCGACGTTCCAGCAGCAGCAGCCGTCGCAGCAGCAGCAGTAGCACTTTATCCATGCCCCGCCCTACTCGGCTCCTCCCGGAGCAGCAGCACCGTCCCCCGGCTCCCTCCACTCCTTGATGGCACGTGTTGTGCCTGCAGGCGAGATCGAACCTAGTGGTGTGGTAGCAAGTAGCGAGCGTGATAGTGGTAGAGGATTTGCTTTGGCTGCACGAAACCCGGATTCGCATTTTGGCAGGGAGAGATTTTGGGCCGACAGCGGCGTCACCAACACGTTTGTTAGCAGCAGCCATCAAATGTTCGACTTGAGGCCAGNCCTTGATGGCACGTGTTGTGCCTGCAGGCGAGATCGAACCTAGTGGTGTGGTAGCAAGTAGCGAGCGTGATAGTGGTAGAGGATTTGCTTTGGCTGCACGAAACCCGGATTCGCATTTTGGCAGGGAGAGATTTTGGGCCGACAGCGGCGTCACCAACACGTTTGTTAGCAGCAGCCATCAAATGTTCGACTTGAGGCCAGTGCCGCCCGGTAAGCAGTCCATACAAGTAGGTAACGGTGCGTATTTGCGCGTGCAATGTGTTGGCAAGGTAAACATGGTGTTCCACATGCTTGGCCCTTCGGGCGAGACCGATTTTTGTGTACAGATGTCGGACGTGTACGTTGTCCCCGGCATCACATTCAACTTGTTTTCTCGGCACTATCCGCAGCGTAGGCAGAAGATCACGTTGGACGAACATGGCGTGCACCTCTTCATCGGTAGGCTTACCTTTGCTTACTCCGACGTAGGATGTTCCCTGTTGGCCACNTGTCCCCGGCATCACATTCAACTTGTTTTCTCGGCACTATCCGCAGCGTAGGCAGAAGATCACGTTGGACGAACATGGCGTGCACCTCTTCATCGGTAGGCTTACCTTTGCTTACTCCGACGTAGGATGTTCCCTGTTGGCCACTCGCTTGCCTCCGGAGTATACTGGTAGTGCTGTGACCTACAGCCCCGATGCCCTCCCCCGCGTTTCTGCCCAAGCCTCCCCGCCTAGAGTTGGCACAGGCCTTGTCGCGGGAACCCCCCCTCCCCCACAGAGTGCAGGAGCGGGCACGAGTTCGAGTTCGAGTGCGAGTGCGAGCTTCCAGTCCACCGGTGGTGCCGCTGCCGGTGTTGTACCTTCGAGTGCCAGTGCGAGTCCGAGCTTCCAGTCCGCCGGTGGAGTCGCTGCCGGTGTTGTACCTTCGTCTGCCAGTGCGACTTCGAGTGTCCCATCCACCACGTCCGGTGTAGTGCTTCCGCGTTGTGCATTCCCGCCCATCGACGTAGATGTAGTGCCAGCGGCTATTGCCGACTTCCAGCCTGTAATCATAGATGCCGTAGCATCGTCTGAGATGCGCTTGATGTTTGCGATTCTGTAACACCCCCTCCCCCCGCGTTTGCCGTGGTGAGTAATGAATTGGATTGCTTTTGTTGCTGGATGCAGTGAGCAGCAAACCGTAGCTCCCCCCTCCCTCTCGCATGCCTTGGTGATTATCGACCCCGGTGCTTCCCCATTTTCGGTAGGAAAATCCACTCCCACCATTGACAATAATTTGCTCCATGCCTCCACCGGCCATGTCAACGAATTCTTGATGCGTGAAACGGCCAAGCAGCAGGGCGTACGACTTGGGGGGGAGATGCAGCCGTGTGTGGGCTGCGTGGAGGCGAAGGGCAGGCGGGCACCGGTGCCGCGACGTGGCACGTACGGCGGTACCGTTCGGCAAAGTCCACATCACCCTCACGGGCCCGTTCTCTGACGCGCTGGACAGCTCCCGGTACCTGATCATGTTCGTGGACAGCGCATCGCGGTGGCAACGGGGGTACGGGATGCGGGCCAAGAGCGACACCCTCAAGTTCGTGCAGCGGTTCCTCGCCGACATGAACGGCATGGGCACTCCGGGGTGTTCCCGCATGGACAACGGTGGCGAGTTCACCGGCTCCGCGTTCACGTCGACAACGTCGTGTGGGTCAACCGCCGGGCAGGAGCGCCGGCGCCGGTGCCGNACGTGGCACGTACGGCGGTACCGTTCGGCAAAGTCCACATCACCCTCACGGGCCCGTTCTCTGACGCGCTGGACAGCTCCCGGTACCTGATCATGTTCGTGGACAGCGCATCGCGGTGGCAACGGGGGTACGGGATGCGGGCCAAGAGCGACACCCTGAAGTTCGTGCAGCGGTTTCTCGCCGACATGAACGGCATGGGCACTCCGGGGTGTTTCCGCATGGACAACGGTGGCGAGTTCACCGGCTCCGCGTTCACGTCGACAACGTCGTGTGGGTCAACCGCCGGGCAGGAGCGCCGGCGCCGGTGCCGGGCATCGGGAAGGGTTCTTCGGTCACCGCTGCGCCCTCGCCGGCCGCCGCCGTACCTGCAGCGCCGCCCCGCCGCCGCCCCGGACGTACACGTACACCCCGCCTGCACCAGAGACCACCGCACCGCCGCGGCCCGCTTCCCCGCCGCTCATCACAGGATCCTCAGCCCCGCGCCGATCTCCGTCGTCCCATCATCAGCCCCACCGTCAAACGCAGCCATGCCGCCCCGTTCGCCCCCGGGCCTGCCGCCGCCGCCGCCGCAGCCCGCCATCGCCGCCGCCCCCGCTCCTCCGCACCCGCCGCTTTCGAAACGAGCCGTCAAGGAGCTGGGACGAGAGGATACGAGGGTTCACGGCCGCACGCGCGGCGATGGAGTGCGGTTCATCGATGAGCAACAACAACCGCCGTCGCCACCCGTGGCGGCACCGCTCTCCACCACCGCCTTGGGCTGTTGGACATGATGGACAAGGCCACCCTCATCTCGTCGCTCGCCACCCGGGAGGCCGTGGA